ATCCCCACCAGGTAACCTGGCAATCCAGCCCACAGGGAAAGGCCTTAACCCTACCCCGCACTGGAACTAATACAGGGAGTGGTGGGGGAATATAAAAGTAGAAGCAGCAGAAAGAAGGGCCCTGCATGCATTCCTAGTCTCCAGCACAGACCAAGGGAAGCCATTCCTGATTCTATGTCGCAGAGGGTCTCACAGAAGTTGGCTAACTATCTCAGCCAGTGGTTACAGGTTAAAAGAAGCTCCCAACTGAAATTCGTATAATCCTGAGTGGAGATGAACTCCCTTGACCAGAACCAGTGGGTAAGAAGTGTGCTGCAGCCACAGGCACAGGCACTGGACACTCTTGCTTTGCAGGTAGATGAAGAGGGGGCATGGCCTGAAAACTGGTTCCTGTCTCCATAGGGAAAGCTTATGGCCTAGGGCAGTTTTGAGTTCTGAGCTTACATGGCCTGGAATTTAGCTAACTGCTGCTGGCAAACACTGAGAGACCTGCCTTGCCACGTGCATGAGAGCTGGGTGAGGCTTGTGAACTCTTTTGCCATCAGCCTCTCACCACTTCATGTTCAGGGTCCTGCTACAGACGTCAGAGATCCATTGTCTACCACCCTTATGTAAGCCACAAGTCTTCTTCCTAGCTGATGTCTTAGCACCTTTGCTCTTCCGCCACTTAAGGGCTTTCCCAGGACTTCCCTATGTGGGATCCTATGAGGGGAGGTTTCCTCTGCAAGTTTCATAGCATCCATTCACTAGAAGGTAGTTCATTTTTCTCACTTAATACTAAGTGTAGAGGAGAGCAGATGCTGGCAATGGTCAACAGCTCAATAATGTCAGAACTCTAGGTTGGTATTATTGACCTACCTAACCTTCATGGTCACAAGATGGCTGCAGTAGCTCTGATCATCACAACCACATTCAAACTTTGATGCAGGGCAGGTGCAATGGCTCACACCAGTAATCCCAGCACTATTGGAGCCCAAGGTGGGAGGACTGCTTGAATCCAGTAGTTCAAGACCAGCCTGGGCAACATAGCAAGACACTGTCTCTAACACAGAAAAAAAGTAGCCAGGTATGGCAATGTGCACCTCAAGTCCAAGCTATGTGGGAAGCTGAGGTGGGAGAATCACTTGAGTTGGAGAGGTCAAAGCAGCGGTGAGCCACGACCATGCCGCTGCACTCCAGTCTGGGTGACAAAGTGAGACTCAGTGGAGAGGGGGAGGGGCAGGGGAAAGAAAGAAACCCTCTACCTACCACTGCTCCTTAAAAAAATCATTTTCTCTGAAGTAACTGCTTCTGTCATTTTCAGCAAGTTTTGGCCTCAAAGCTAAGAATATGTTGCTTGGTCATTGCTGAGTTACTTGTCCTTCCTTACAGGAGGCAGTAAGCTAAGACTTTTAGCCTAATTCTCATGATGGAGCAACTTCAAAGAAAATGGAAAAACTGCTTTATTAAAACGTATCAGTGGTCAAGACTTCAATAGTGAGGAAGGCAGTGTGTGCATAGAACAGGGAAGTATATGTGAACTCTATACTTTCTGCTCAATTTTGCTGAAACCTACAACTGCTCTAGAAATTAAAGTTTATTACTTTAAAAAATGCTTTATTGTTCCAGTTCTATACTAGACCCTGTGATGTAAATCATACATTTAGGGTCCAAGTAAAGTGGGAAGCCTCCCTCACCTAACCAGCTTTCTCTGCTCCTCTGCTTGAAATTGAGACGTCCCATAGAACTCTGGCTGAGCCTTATCAGACTCCCAATGAAAATCTCTCAAGCTCACGGTCAGGAGTTCTGCCTGTCTGAGGCCGCCTATTGTTTAATGGCAGGAGTGGAACAGAGCTTGTTAGTCTTTTGCCAAGCTTTTTTTCCCTAATGTTGACTACTGCAGAGATAATTATCTGTGTTATTTCCTTTCTCCCCTGCTTCCTAACTAGTGGAACCCTAATTCTATTCAGTTTGGCAATCAGCCTGCCAGAACCACACTTTCCAGGCTTCCTTGTTCTAAAGCAGTCTGTGATAGTTCCAAGGGATTACACATAAAGTGTAAAGTGTTTCTTGAGAAAACTTTTGAGTTTAACCATAAAAATGTCCCTTCTGGCTAGGTGCAGTGGCTCATGCCTGTAATCCCAGCACTTTGGGAGGCCAAGGCAGACGGATCACCTGAGGTCAGTTTGAGACCAGCCTGGCCAACATGGTGAAACCGTCTCTACTCAAAATACAAAAAATTAGCTGGGCATAGTGGCAGACACCTGTAATCCCAGCTACTTGGGAGGCTGAGGCAGGAGAATCGCTTGAACCCAGGAGGCGGAGGTTGCAGTGAGCCAAGATCACGCCTTTGCACTCCAGCTGGCGTGCTGGTGCATGCCTATAATCCTACCTACTCCACCCAGGAGGTGAAGGTTGCAGTGAGCCAAGATCACACCACTGCACTCCAGCCTGGGAAACACAATGAGGCTGTCTTGGAATGAATGAATAACTGTTCAAAATAGTTGGAAAAAAGAGTAAGACTACCTTGGGATGCTAATGCACAAATTCCACTCATTCCTAGAATGATAAATGTTCAAACTAGACCCACAAAATAAGGTGATTTACGAGGTAGTGTTGGCCAGGCACAGTGGCATATATATGGCTGTAATCCCAGCTGCTCGGGAGGTTGAGGCAGGAAAATCACTTGTACCAGGAGGCAGAGGTTGTGGTAAGCCAAGGTTGCATCATTGCACTCCAGACTGGACAAGAGCAAAACTCTCTCAAAAAAAAACCAACCAAACAAAAAAACCCAAGGTAGTGTCTGCCTAAGCAGACTCAACAACAATTACTTAAGTAAAGAAAAGAGGCTATCCTGGCCAGCACTTTGGGAGGTGTCAAGGCCAGAGGATCACCAGGAGACCAGCCTGGGCAACATGGTGAAACCGTCCCTACAAAAATAAAATTAGTCAGGCATGGTGGTGTGCACCTGTAGTCCAGCTACTAGGAAGCTTAAGTCCAGGAGGTCAAGGCTGCAGTGAACTGTGATCGTTTCACTAAACTCCAGCATGGGTGACAGAATAAGACCATCTCAAAAACAAAACAAAAAACAACAAAAAGGAGGGTGATCCTGAGCAGAGTTAATTTTCTGTACAAAGTCACACCAGTGTTTACAAAAATGGAAGAGATGAAAATGGCTTGTCTTAGCTTTAATACATCTGTAAATGACTGAACAATCACCAAAGTACTGCTAATGAAAAATGAAACTATGAACAAACAAATCTTAAATAATTACAAATGAAAAACACATCTAAATTCTGCAAGGATTGGGATAAGGGTTAAGGATGACTTTAAAAGCACAGTTTTGACGTGATGTTTTTATTGAAAAGATGTGTAACTTTAACAAAATATGTAACACCATTACCCTGTCAAGATAACCATTTTCATTTTATTGACCTTCCAATCCTTGTACATATTAAACAAATCACTATTACATACCATAATGAGCAGCAGCTCAATTACCCATTCTCACACCATGCAATTCCACCCCAACTGCCCCAAATTTTAAATCCAGAAGACAAACCTAGAAATGTGGCAAGACAAATATTTACAAACACAGCGTGGAAAAACAGCAATATTTCAACAGTTTTGTTAAATTATTTCCTTCAGACATAATGTACACGACACAGATGAGAAACATCTGACAGTCTCTGTATCACAGAAAGAGAAATCTGAGCAAAAACAAAACCATGCTTTCTAAACTTTCCAGTGACCCCAAAAGGGAGACACACCAGCAATTAAGTATACGTCAGAAGTCTCAAATTCTCATCAGCTGACTTTCAGCTATCAATGTCGGCACCATGCTGCAGTTTATAAATCACTAATGCAAACACTGCTGTCTCTGGTATTCTTCCAATGTTTTCATTTGAGAAAACCTGCAGAAAGAATTCTGCTTACACCAAAGCAAGGTAGCAAGGAAACAGGTTACCGCTGAATAATAAGGCCCTAAGAAAGGCAGCAGGTCGTATAGTTAGCTCCTTGTGGGCAAAATCCCTGCCCTAAAACTATGCAACCTACTACCTCTTCCTAGGAACCCATTTTTATTTCTTGCTGGTCTTCTACTTGGCAGATGTACTTCAAATTAACCTGTTAAATTAGGTCACGTTCTTTGAGTTTTGTTTCAAATTCAAACCAATCAGAATTCTTTCACTAATGCTTTTGAAAAGTTATCTGGCCATATGACCTTGGTAAAAAGCCACAAATATATTTGCTTAAAATCCAACTTCAAGTCACAAAGGAACAAAAAAGTAACTTAATTACATCTAATACTTAGCCCACCATGTATTACTGGAGTCACTGACTTTTAACATTTAATTACCAATTTATTTTTTATTTTATTTTGAGATGGAGTCTCGCTCTATCACCCAGGCTGGAGTGCAGAGAGGCGATCTCGGCTCACTGCAAGCTTCACCTCCTGGGTTCAAGTGATTCTCCTGACTCAGCCTCCTGAGTAGCTGGGATTACAAGCATGCACTACCACGCCTGGCTAATTTTTATTTTATTTTGAGATGGGGTTTCGCTCTTGCTGCCCAAGCTGGAGTGCAATGATGCAATCTCGGCTCACTGCATGCCTCCTGGGTTCAAGCAATTCTCCTGCCTCAGCCTCCCAAAGTACTGGGATTACAGGCCTGAGACACTGCACCTGGCCTAATTTTTGTATTTTTAGTAGACTGTTTCACCATGTTGGTCAGGCTGGTCTGGAACCCCTGACCTCAGGTGCTCTGCCTGTCTTGGCCTCCCAAAGTGCTGGAATCAGAGGCGTGAGCCACTATGCCCAGCCCAATTACCAATGTTTAAATATCAAGTTTCATAAAATCTCGTCTCTCTTGGTAACTGAAAAAGTAAGTGACACTGTATATAAACCTTGCTTGCCACCTATCAACCAGAGCAAATTAATTTACTGTAATTCCCAGTTACAGCTAGCCCCTCCAAGACCTCTGAAGGTATTTCACTTTTTGACCCCTGAATTAAACAGAAGCAAATTCTGATCATGAATTTTGTCATCATTAAAAACAAGCTTTTACAGACAGTCACACTCTCCATAAAGACATTTTTAAAGTTTTATTTCAATTCACTTACTCTGCTTGGCTAGTAAGAATGTCCTTACGTAATTAATAAAATACATAAATTAATTTTTCTCCAGGCCTTAATTATTAGTAAGGTAAGGATACGTTTCCAATTGAAGCTGGCAATGTTAATGCTGGAAGAACATGTGTCAGAAAACCACAAAATTTCATGACTATACTTGCTACACGTTCAGCAAGAGTTACACGTATTTTCAATTCAACAAAGATTAAGCCAAAGAGAATTCTTAGAACATTCCCACTTTTCTTTGGCACGTCAAAAGGCAACGAATGTCATTTTCCCCTGTTTTTATGTGCAGTTTAGAACAAAGACTGACTACCTATGCAGCTGTCCACAGTGGATAAAACAAAAAGCATAAATTTGGTCAAGAGTAAGTCACCTGGGTTGGGCCCATCCAAGGAAGAGTTTGATGTTTCTACTCTCATGAAAAGTACCATGGCAGTACTGGCACTGCACAGTAATTATCTTAGATATTAAGGATAAATGAACATTTCTCCTTAAAATTCAATTTTTTGGAAATGATTGGAGAGGGACGTAACCTCTCCCTCACCTCTGCACTGCCTCTTTTACAACTCTTCTTCCAACACAAAACAGTTTAATCAGCAAGTACTTAAAGAGCTTTTAGCCTTGCTTGTTAATCACAAGGCCCAAGTTAGCATATGGTTTGCCCATAGGAAGAAAGGTAAAAACATGGGCCTTCATGGGTGTTAAAATTCAAGAAACCTTTTCCAGCATATTTTTTCTATTTTCCTAAAGCAACAACCTATGGATTTCCCCATCTGACATTTTCAGGTGATCCCACTGTGTAAATGAGGGACTACACTTCAGTGTTTGAGGGCAAAACTGAGATCTTAGCAACTTATCAGTGAGCAAAGGCAGAAACCAGAGCCCATCTCTCCTTTTCCAAGTTAGTGAGTATAGTTTGTCTAAATCAACATACCAATCAAACAGAGCTTACAACATTCTCCAAGACCAGCCAAAACCCAAACTGGAAATGAATCATGATTGATTTGACTCCATTTTGGCTCACACAGTGCCCTTCCAATCTGTATTTACCTTTACCACCCGGGACCTCACCTTGGACATGTGTACCAGGAAGTAAGGCAATAAACCTACACACAATTCCAAAAGGGCCTGGTCTTCTACTAAGATTTCCTGAAGGCTACTTACTCTACTCATTGACATTTTTGCTTAACTTCAAATTTCTGAAATATACCATATGTGAAAAATTTTAATGTTAATCAGTGTTAACTGTACTATACTTGAACAGAGAAAATTAACTGATATACAAAATGTCAAAATTAACTCTTCTGAGTTTTAACATCATCTTAATAAAAACAAAATAATGCAGCAAGTCTACTCCTCAGGGAAGGCAATAGATTGTATAGTTATCTCCTGAACAGGGTAAAATCACTACCCCACAACTATACAATCTACTACCTCACTCTGATAGAGCAATCTTTTCTTCTGGAATGGAAAGTACAATCTCTTTCAAAAGAGAATTTCAACATAAAATTATCAGCATCAATCAAAATTAAAAAAAACAAACAAACAAAAAAACAACTTATTCCGACACAAAGAAATAAGACAAGTAGTAAAAGGTATCCCCACCCCCATCCAGTGTCCGTGTTACAGATTTTATCTCTAAAGTAATAAACTTGCACACATAAACAAATGCTGCACTACATCTTTTAAAAACAAGTTAATCTTAAATATTACACAATTAGTTAAATGACTTTCTATGAGACCACCTGGATGCAGACTTTTCTATCACGTTAGGAAAGACAGTAGATTGTATAGTTATCTCCCAGTGGTGGGTGTGACCCTAAAACTATACAACCTACTACCTCATCCCACAGTGAAGAGAATAGCCAGGGTGAATGATGAAAAGGAATCACAGTTGAGCACCACAGGAAGGCTCTTTCTTTCCTCCTCGGTAATCCTGGTCTCCTGTGTGAGTAACAAGAAAAAAAAGTATTAGACCATTTTAATTCATTTATGTTGAAAATGAAGTTTAACTGAACATTTTGGCTACATGCATAATCTATGTTGTGCTTTCTTTTCATTTCTTGTATTTCATTAATAGTATTTTAAATGCTTGGTTATCTGAGTCCTCCTAAAACCATGTATTTACAAGATTCAGAAATCACCTTCTTACCACCACCTTTTACTATTATCAGCTGTTGGTTTTCTTACAGTTCCTACAAATGAAAATTCATGAAATAACTTATCATTCCTTGACAAACAACAACAAATCATTACAGGAAAACACAACAGCCTCTAAATTCAATGACTTCAAAACCCAAAAGTCCTGTACATCATGCATAATCCAAGCGCACTAATATACAAAGAGATAATATAAAAATATACATATACACATAAAGAGAAACTAATTTTTAAAGGCACCTACTAATTTAGGAGGTAGCTACTATAAATCTGGGGTACATGTGCAGAACATGGTTTGTTGCATAGTTATACATGTGCCATGGTAGTTTGCTGCATCCATCAACCCATCATCTACATTAGGTATTTCTCCTAATGCTATCCCTCCCCTAGTCTCCCACTCCCTGACAGGCCCTGATGTTCTGTTCCCCTCCCTGTGTCCATGTGTTCTCATGGTTCAACTGCCACTTATAAGTGAGAACATGCAGTGTTTGGTTTTCTGTTCTTGTGTTAGTTTGCTGAGAATGAAGGTTTCAGTTTCATCCATGTCCCTGCAAAAAACAAAAACAAAAACAAAAACAAAACAAAACAAAAAACCTCATCCTTTTTTATGGCTACATAGTATTCCATGGTGTGATTTAGTAACCAAAAGCACTAATTTTTAAAGTTACAGAATGTAATGAAAAACATACAGCTCAATGTAATAGAATTTAAAGTTTAGAAATAAACCCATACATGGGTCAACCGATTTTCAACCATGCCAAGACAATTCATTCAACTGGGAATCATTTTTTCAGCAAATGCTGAGACAGTGGTGGGTGTGACCCTAAAACTATACAATTTAGGATATACCCTAAAACTGTATATCCACATGCATTTGCATTCTTCTTTGTAAATTGGTGTGCAAAACATACCACATAAAAAATAAAACAATCTAATGGTAAGCAAAATATTTTAATAGATATTTCACCAAAGATATGACTCCTAAGCACAAACGGCCAACAGGCACATGAAAAGATACTGTATTATTCATCAGGATAGCTAATAAGATTAATAAAAGCATTGGCAAAGATATGGAGAAAATTAGAACCCTTAGATTGCTGGTGGGAACATGAAATGGTGTAGCTGCTTTGGAGAACAGTTTAGAAAAGTCAAACAGTCATTGTAAGTGGAATCAGAAATACGTATTTAGTCCCTTGTCTCCATTTGGAAATCCTGGCTGGCAAACAGCTCCTAAAACCCCCCAAATCTCCCAAGTGATGAATGTCCGTTTAATGCTACTCAGAGATGACTGGTGGTTCCTACAGTTTCATGAGGGGGCTTGTCACCAGAAAGACCAAAGTGTGATTAGAGGGGTGGAACTTACAGCCTCACACCCTCAACCTCCAGGTAAGGCAGAGAGGTCAGAGAGTAAACCATCATCAAAGGCCAATAATGTAATCAATCATGCCTAAGTATGAAACCTCCATTAAAACCCCTTAAGTGTTAGGGTTCAGAGAGCTCTGAGTTGAAAAACACATCTTCATGCCAGGAGGGTGGTGTAACTCTCCACAGATACAGAAGCTCCTGTGCTAGGAACCCCACCAGACTTCAGCTTAAGGACCTCTTCATCTGACTATTCATTTATATCCTTTATAATAAACCAGTGGTAATAAGTGTCTTCCTGTGTTCTGTGAACCACCCTAGCAAATTACAGACCCAGAGGAAGAATTTGTGAAACCCCCTAATTTACAACTGATTGGTTAAAAATTCAGGTGGCAACCTAGGATTTGAAACTGGCATCTGAAGTGAAGGCAGCCTTGCATGCTTGAGCCCTCAACCTGTGAGGTTTGTATTAACTCCAGGTAGTTTCAGAATTAAATTGATTTGTAGGACAGTTGGTATTGAGTTGAAGAACTGATTGTTGGTGTCAGACAAAACTGGCTGTGATGAGTAAAAACCGTTCACTGTATGACCCAGCAATTCAATTTCTAGGTATATACCCTAGAGAACTGAACATGGTTGGGTGTGGTGATGCAGGCGTATAGTCCCAGATATTCAGGAGGCTGAGGCAGGAGAATCACTTGAGCCTAGGAGTTAAAGGTTGCAGTGAACTATGATCACACCATTGCACTCCAGTCAGAGCAAGACTGTCTCTAAAAAAGAAAAAAAAAAAAGGAGGGCAACAGAATTGAAAAAATGTGTACTTGAATGTGCACAACACTACTCATTTGGAGTCAATAATAACTAGGGTTCAAATCCTGACCCTACTAACTCACTGCCATTGAAACCTTGCACAAGCAATTTAGCTGAAGTCCCTCAGCTTTCCTAGCTGCAGTATCAATACATCTGTAAGAAAAAGGGAAAGAATTATTAATACCATATATCCAAAATATGTAAGGCCCCACCACTTCATCATCTCTAGATGAAAACTGGTGCTAAGAAGCTTAACAACTTGCCCCAAATTAGGGGAGATAGCACTGCATCACCAAACTATACTACATCTGAGCCCATTTCAATTCTACATGGCCAGATGATGCCAAGTATCAACTTGCAGACACACTTGTCCCCAAAGTCAGGCCCTTTATAAGCCAAAATCTTTCCCATGAATCAGCAATGTCCATATATATAAAATTTCGAGATGGAGTCTCACGCTGTCACCCAGGCTGGAATGCAAAGGTGAAATCTCAGCTCCTGCAACCTCCACCTCCTGGGTTCAAGCAATTCTCCTGCCTCATCCTCTCAATTAGCTGGGATTAAAGGCATGTGCCATTACGCCCAGCTAACTTTTGTATTTTGAGTAGAGATGGGTATTCACCATGTTGGCCAGGCTGGTCTTGAACTCCTGATCGCAGGTGATCTGCCCTTCTTGGCCTCCCAAAGTGTTGGGATTACAGGCATGAGCCACTGCGCCCGGCCTACTCCTTACTTTTAAAAAACTAATAGCCAAAATAAATAAATAAATAACAGCCAAAAGCAAAACCATCTGGTACCTCTACTCCAACCCTCTACTCCCTACCAATTTTCTCAGTTAAACCATGTTTGAATCCTCAATCAAACATTAAAAATGTATTATTATCCAACCTCATTGAGTGTCACATGCTTAGTTTGTATTATTGTCAATCCAGCTAAGTAAATAAATACCATATTACTAGAAAGCATTCTGGTAATTTACATACCAAGTGCTATTAACATGACCCTCAATTTTTTGAAAATTATATATATAAATAATCCAATAAATAACATTGTTCACAAACCCCAATACTCTCACTCTCATATTTCTGTTATTTTCTTGTAGATATAAATTGATTTTAATGATCTAATGGTTTCCAGCCTGCAGTTTAGACACTCATTAGAGCAAATGGTGGAAACTAAAACCAAACAGCTGAGGTAAAGCAATGGTCAGTTAGGCAAGCTCTCATAAACACTAAACATAATCCATACACTAGAATTTATGGATTACAAGAACCCATGGAAATGTTCATTTGTAAATCAGGCAAAAACCCTAACTCACTAATCACAACTATATAATGCTTGCGTACTGGGTAAGAGTGGGTGGATAGCTAGTATACATTTAGTTCCTGAAATTTTTCTGTTAATGCTGGCTCCCCATTTACTATGTCCTTGGACAAAGCATATAATTTCTGGGGCCTTTGCTTGCATTCGTAGGCAGGGTACTCTTAGCTAAAATTATCAGAATTCAATCTTCCTGGTAATTCTTTCTTAAAAAGCAACAGAAACACTTTAATATTCACATTCTGTCCTTATTCACATACTACCTCAATCTGTAGCTGGAACTACCCTCCCACTAAAAGTTATGGTGGCCAGGCACAGTGGTTCACGCACTTTGGGAGGCCAAGGCAGGTGGATCATCTGAGGTCAGGAGTTCGAGACCAGCTTGGCCAACATGGTGAAACCCCATCTCTATTAAAAATATAAAAAGTTAGCCAGACATGGTGACAGGCACCTGTAATCCCAACTACTCGGGAGGTTGAGGTACAAGAATCACTTGAACCTGGGAGGCAGAGGTTGCAGTGAGCAGAGATTGTGCCACTGCACTCCAGCCTGGACGACAGGAAGAGACTCCATCACAAAAAGAAAAAGGCAGCAGTGGCTCACGCCTGTAATCCCAGCACTTTGGGGGGCCAAGGTGAGTGGATCACCTGAAGTCAGGAGTTCGAAACCAGTCTGGCCAGCACAGTGAAACCCTGTCTCTACTTAAAAATACAAAAATTAGCCAGGCGTGCTGGGGGCACCTGTAAACCCGGCTACTTGGGGGGCTGAGGCAGGAGAATGGCTCGAACCTGGGAGGCAGAGGTTGCAGTGAACCAAGACTTTGCCATCACAATCCAACCTGGTCAACAAGAGTGAAACTCCTTCTCAAAAAATTTATGGCAACTAAAAGTCAAAAACTTAGACGAAATGTATCTTAAACTTATTTCATTCAATTCAGCATACCAGTACAGGAAAACCGTTAAAGGCAATGGTTTCAGGGTCAAACAGCTACTTAGGGGCTGTGTTCTTTCATATTCGTTTGGGGGAACTGTAATGTTCCCACCTAATGGGGTTGCTGAGGACTGGGATACACCAAAACAAATTGAATGTCTGAGAAGTTAACAAAGAGCAACTTTACTTAAATAAATAAATTTGACAAACTATACTAATATTAATTTTACCTTTCCAGATATACTTGTGATGGCTAAAAATACTATTGCTTTAAAGCATGCTATAAGCAGGCAAACCTACTATTAATTATAAACTTGTCTACATCTGCATCAAGTTTTCATAACTAAGTTACTAACATTCAC